TTTACTACAGCCATGCTCAGGCCAAGAAATGACCAGGGATGTCTTCAGCTGTGGGGGACTTGTTAAATGGCATATCTGAGAGAAGAGCATAAATCCACTTTCCTAGGAAAATAATAAAAGGCTGGAGAATGGTTGTCTGGGGGTGATCTCTTTGCACAGCTTCACCTTCACAGAGAGGCAGCCTGAGGAGAGCCAGCAGCCCTGCACAGGCTGTGGTCAGGTTAGGATCCTCTCCTGCCCAAGGGCACTTGCCCATTCTGATACTGGACTCTGAAATGTTGGAGCACACTGTGTTTACTATGTCCAGCACTGTGCTGCGCTTCCTCAGAGATAAATTCCTTTTTGGAGTTCTTTTTTCCCCTTCAGATTGGCAGTTCTGCTCCTCGTGCATCGCCACGCCCGATGTCTTCATTATTCTGCGTCCGCTCCCAAACTGATCAGAAATCCACAGATCTCCCGTAACACAGCCCCTGACATCAGGCTGGAAATAATTCCCTCATCCAGGAAATAGCTGGGACACGCAGCTACTGACGGTTGCTGTGGAGAAGGACAGAGCTGCCCAGCTATTCAAGGTTTTCCAAGCTAAGTCACATGCAGCAGAAGGGGAAGACAGCGTTTCTCCTGCCAGCTTTTGAGCTGTGCCTAGCAGTCTTTATCCTTCCTGCTGCAGGACAAGAGGAGCACTGTGGATGCTTCCCGAGGCTGAGCCTGCCATCGAGGTGGCTCGTGCTGTAGGATGCCTCAAAGCTCTGTGGAGGCCACAATTTCCTATGTTTCTGCTACAAAATAGCGCTGTGATTTTCAGCTTTAGGTGGATGAAGCATCAGAGCAAGTGGCAGACTTGGATCCGCTCTCGGCGGGGCTGTATTGGAGCAATCAAAGCAGCGTGGACTCCATTCCTGAAGGACACACATGGCAACACCATCCCAGATCTGGAATTTTCCAATCTCCAGCTAAAATTAAGCCACGATGCCAAACCAAAGTGGTGTAACGAAAGAGAAGCAATAAAGGTGCATGAAACAAAGTCAAAATGAGAGAGGAAAATGGGAAAGAGAATGGGCAAATCCAGAGTGAAATGGTCAACACGTGTTTTGAGTCAAAGTAAAAAATATTTTGCTGAAAGATTTGCCAAAACCAATACAGGTCTATGAAAGAATTCAGTTTTAATAAATCAATGTTTCTCAGCAAAAAGGGGATTTATGTTTTAAAAAAATCCAACTACCTCTGTGTACAGAGCTCATCAAGTTCAGCTTTGTTGTGGGTATGAAAGCTAAAAACCTGAATACATTTTATTTAATGCATTTTTGGAGTGCAATTTGTTCTACAGGTGCTGTGGTATAAAAAGGCCCATCCAAAATCAGCTGAAGTCTGTGACAAGATTTCTACAAAATCCAGTGAATTAGGCCTGGAGAGACTGAGAGGCTGAAGTACAGGATTAAGTAAATCCCCTATAGCTCTCTGAAAGAATTAATCATTACATATGTATCTATTAAAAAGATACATTTTAAATTATTAAAATGATACTTATAATTTTCTTAATGATGAAATGTTTTCATCTCTTACAAATTAGCATAAGTGTTCAGAAACAGCTGTTCTATTTTTTGGTTTTTTTTTTTTAAATAATTTAAACATATTTATGTATGTTATATACGTTATATACATACATTAACAGTTGAAAAACTTTCCCTCCGATGATGGCCTCCAAGGAGCTGCAAGCACTTAATCATGTGTCTAACCTGAAACCTTTTCAGGCCCCATCAGATACATGATTAGGTATCTCTCAGAGAAAAAAGGAAAAGGAAAAGGAAAAGGAAAAGGAAGAAAAGGACAGGGAAAAGAAAGAACAGGTCTGGCAAAAGCCTTGGAGGTATGAAATGAAACACACAGATAATGTTTCAGAAACTTAGACCCATGTGGTTTTTGAAGAGTGAAAAGCACTTGTGATCAAAGGGGAGAAAGTTTCAGCGTTTTTAACAAGGCTTTTAGATTTTAAATCATGTATTATTAGTCTGGGCCATTCTTATTTTCATAAAGTCAAGACACTTCATACAATGTAATTTTGTACCCATAACACTGATGAAGTTAAAATCCTGAACTTAACTGTACTTTAAAAGTTGTCCAGGTTGGCTGCTCTACTGAAACTAGTGAATATCATTTTTAAATTGAATTTACTCCCTGTGTTTTTCATGTATTTCAATAAATATGATTCCTCTTTAAAAGCAAGCAAAATGCTCAAAATACGGATTGAGGTTTCTTCAAACCACAAATTAAAATTAACATTTTGAGACTTTCCAGCAGAGAAACTCATAATCACGGAGCAGGAATGAGGAGACTGAGCAGGACGAAGGAGATACCCCCCTTCTCAAATGCACAGTTTGTCTTTGTGAAGACTGGAACAGCTTGAATAAGCACAGAGGTGCTGTGGTGTGACTGCATGTGCAGGTGAGGAGGGAGACACACCCATGAGGTGTGAGCTGTGTCACACTGAGAGCCCACGTCCTGGGCAGGACACTTTTGTTGTCAGGCACTGTGGGAATCACTGTGTGGGATCTTAATGTCAACCCCAGCACAGGCAGAACAGGGGGACAACAGATTTTGTGGTGGACTGAAACTCTGAAACTGAGATAATGGGAAATTTCGGAAGAAACTTCCAGACAAAGGATGATTTGAAACAAAGGGCTTAAATTCAAGCCTTCTGCTCTCATGAAGAGCGTTTTTTTTTGGTTTTTTTTTTTTAATCCTCTCCCTTTTTCTGCCCCAAAGAAGGGACTGGCTCCAAGGCCCCAGTGGGAGAGAGTGACTCACTCTAAAGCCACTGCACCAGGCAGCTGCTTGAGATGTGGAGGACCAAGATGCTGGGCAGGGAGTCTCATTACTCACCACTTGCATAAATCTTTTAGCAAAAGCAGTGAGGAGTCACAGCTGGTTCCTGTGAGATCCCCAGCACCTTCTGAGAGGGACAGAGAGCTTTCAGTAACTTCTGAAATTTGTGGCACCCTGAAGGAGGGTAGAGCATGACACCCCTGCATTTCCCTACACAAAGGCAGATGCATCTGACAAAACCTGAGTCCCATAGCCAGCAGTGCTTAATTAATTCTGATATTCTGTTGTTTGTAATTAAAAGTGCTGGAGAGCTGTTCAGTCTCTACCAAATTGTTTTGGTTCTGTTTAGTCTTATTTTCTCTTGTAAAAACTTTGATAGTCCTGAACTGTCTATTCCTGGGTTGCAAAGTGATGAAATATTTATTCTTTATATACCAAGGGCAAGACTTCTCAGAAAAACTCTTTATATTAAAGGCAACAACCCAATATCTACCAAGGTCACTTTTAGAACAAATGGTATGTTACCACAAACTGTGCTAACTAAAACTTCTGGAAAGAACATTGTAAAGGCACATCTTTCTTGAAAGCGGCAAAATTCACAAAAACAAACAGCAGGTTGGAATTTGTCCTAACTAAAGACTAGATTACAGGCAAAATGTTCATTCCTTACCCCAGTCTTTTAGAGGGACTTATGAAAAACACCCTCATTAAAGTCTTTTTTATCCACAACACTTTAAATAGGTCATAAACAATTTGGAGTAGGAACAGAATAAGTGATATGAAAAAATGCTGCTCTGCAGATTAGAGCACAGACTCCTGAACTTAAGTCCTTTTTCCTGTAACCAGTTCCATTAGGACTATTTCCACATGCAAAGTTTTGGAACATCATACCCACAAACTATAAAGGAAAATTAAAACAACAAACCAACAGTGTCTGAGAACAGCCAGACCATAATGTTGCAGCAGATGTCGGGATTTGTTCTCAAAGAGTAAGATTTGCTCATAAATGGGTCTTCAGTGCCTGAGCTGGAAAGATCTGCAGCTGCAGTAAGTTCATTATCCACAAAAATGGGGACAGTACAAACTGCACATTTCAAGTAGTTCTGAGTTACAGTCACTGGACTGAGTCCAAAAAACCTAAATATTCATAGTTAACGACCAAGTTCTGAACTTTTAACTCAACACAACGTTAATGTCAGTCATGCTATTTGTAATAAGGAACTTCCTTGGACAGAGAGGCCTGCAAGGAAATAGCTGAGCTGTCCAACCCCCCTGTGCTGAGGCTGCAAGCCTCAGGGAAGCAGGATATTCAGCTGGGATGCTGGTGAAACTTTTGGGACAACAGAAGCCTATTCAAGGAGAGGTTGCACCACAACACAGCCAAGTGGCTGGCACTGAAGATAGATGAGCTTACAGGGCAATATTTGACCCCAAAAGAAGGCTGACAGGTGTGGAGGACATCTGGTTTAGATTGGTGAAGTCTACCATGTGAATGTGGCAAGTGCTTGAAGTGCCTGTGAAAATACCAGGAGGGAAACAAGCAGCAGTAAGAAAGGCAATTTAGACCACCCACTGGCCCATGAAACACTGAGTAAGAAAGAGAAAGAAAGTGATGAGACAACGTGCCTGGGATCCAGAGATAGCCCCCAAATTACTGGCATCTGAGAGACCTGAAGCTGGCCAGCCTTGTTCACAGCCTGTGAACAGCTTCTCTTGCTGCCATCATCAGACAGAGAATATCCACTGTTCACCTTTAGGACATTTATCACAGAACCACAGAATAGATGTGGTGGGAAAGGACCTCTGGAGATCATCTAGTCCAGCCCCCTGCCAAGGCAGAATCACCTGGAGGAGGTGACATGCCCAGGTGGGCTTTGAATGTCTGTCTTGTGTCCATTGACACGATACAAAGATACCAAGGTGTGCTCAGGCACCAAAATACGGAGCACCCACAGCCTCACAGTCAAAACACTGCTCAGGCTGAAACCTTACCTTGAAACTCTGCCTGTCTTCACCTGCCAATGTTACTTTAAGACACTGACAATGTTAGTTTAAGACAACAATGTTTTAGTTTCTAAGAACAGCGTGCGCCACAAAACACGCGACAAAGCACCCGCTTCTCGCGGCAAGCGTGCTGCAAACCACCACCCCAAAAAAGGAAAACAATAAATGCTTACGTTCATAGCAGTAGGCATCAAACTTGCTATCGGGGTAAGGGAAGCCTGTTTGGTTCTCATAGCGATACAGGGTTCTCACCCCAAGTAAACCCCCGCCGCACTGGGGCCGCGCCACGGAGGCCGGGTAGCGGACGCTGCCGTCCGCCAGCCACCCGTAGTCACACTGGTCGAAGCCGTTCCTCCAGGCCACGTAGAGGTTCCCCACGGAAGCCAGGACACCGCCTCGCTCCTCACACAGATCCCTAGCTTCCTCGAAGGTGAACTTCTGGGGGGATGAGACGTGGACCACTTCATCTGCAGGAGGAAACAAAAAAAAAATAAAAGGAGCGAAGGTTGAGTAGCATGTTCCACCATCAATCAATTCTAGAATCCTGCAAGGTTGGGGATTTTTTTCCCAGAACACGAGTGTTTTTTTTCCTTGAAGAGAAAAATAATCAGATATCTGTAAACCAAATGTTCCGGGCCTGAGTTTGAAAGTTAAACTGCCACAAAGCATGAGCATTTATAAGCAAACTTTATGCCATGGCATACACTGTGGCTGGACAGTGAGTCCCTTCCTTGGTCTCTAGTAAGCCCTGAGGCTCCACTGTGACCCCGTTAGAGTAGAATTTGCAGCTAAACTGAGTTAATTAAATCCAGTCCATCAAAATCATAAAGCAAATCTTCTATCTCTGCAAGCCTCCTACCTGGCACTTTTAGGCATTGCTGGAATCTCGCTTCAAGCAATCAAAAAACATGAAATATTCTTCACTGGCTGCTCCAGAGCAGCTTCTAATGTTGGATTTCCATCAGCCTTCCTCTTGTCCCATTTGGAAACAAAGGTGAGGAAATGCACAGGACATGTTGCATGCACAAAGCCCTCTTTGTGTGGAGAAGCTGAATTAGTCTACAATGTTGATAGCATAACTCAGCTTCCAAGGAATAACAGTTTGTAAGCAATAACCATCCAGTTGGACACTAAAACAAAGCAAATAGCACATCTAATATTTTGCTTCCAAGGTAAACCAGCATTGTGCAGTTGTCTTGGTTGCCTCACTCACACAAACACTCTAAAGAAAAGTCAAGCCTCTCATGTTCATGTCCTGGGAATGAAGCAATAAACTGACCCTTTTCAAGTTTTTGCTTAGACTTCAGATGAAACCAGCCAGACCTAAAATGAGATGCTGGTGTACAAACCGGCAGGGCAAAATCAAAATATTTGTTGCAAGACAGCAATGCCTCCCTCAGCCACAGCAGGCCAGGACATAACAGCCACTGTTGCATGAAAACACTGCTTTTCCACGCCAGCCAATCTGTCTTACCCTTGCACAGGTCTGAAGGGAGCGCAGAAAAAATGCAGACAGAAACTACATCACCCCGAGCAGTTTCATTCACATCAATATTACGTTTGTTTGGGGCCTGAAAGGAATGCAAGTGTGAAAGGAGGCAAGGTGCCAGCCTTCTTTTTCCTCCTAGGTAGAGGCTCTGATTTGTTATTACAGCTGTAGCACCAATCCCATAGTGTAACTTGCTTTATGCACATTGTGTGTCGCTCCCAGCTTGGAGGTAGAGGGACAGATAAGGGAAGCAAAGAGCCATTCGTCCTCAGAATGGCTCATTCAGCTCTTCAGACCACACAGAAAATCAGCATTTTTTTCTGTTACATTCTTCTGCATCTGCCTGCCAGTTCTGCTGCCAAGTCCTGCACAGAGTGATGGGTGCAGTTATCCCAAAGTCCTGTCCCAAAAGCAGCATCATGAAACAGGGGAGCAAAAAAGGCCTCTCCAGAGCAGCCCTCTCTGCTCTGAGAACTGTTCAATGATCCTCTCACAGCAGCCATGATGTATATGAAAATTAGTAGTTAAAATGCAATTTAATTGCAATTATACAGCATATACCATTCCAGCTAGATGAGTGAGAAAAGTGAAGAAGAACAATGAATTTGCGTGACTTCTGTTAACAAAAAAATAATTTCAGACAACCCCACAACACTTCTTATGAGATAAACTATAGAATGAAAATGGGTGAACAGTGCAAGATTACTAGAAAAGCAATTTTTCCATCGGGTGATTTGGATCACTAGCTCCAAATGGGGCTTGTACACCACATCATTAAAGTTAGTGCTATTTATTCCTCTGAGCTGTCATCTGCACTCAGGTTGAGACAGAGAAACTTAGTGAGGGGTTAAGTCTTGGTGTAAGATTTCAACATGCAGGGTTCTTCTTTAAGAGAGGTCACTTTGCAGAGAACTGACTTACCCAAGCTGCACTTTCTAGGCAGAAGTCTGCCTCAAATTTGCCTTGGAGTTTGCCTGTGTCTGCAACAGTGATAATCCTGCACACTTAAAAGATGAGTGTCATGCCCCTCTCTGCACTGAATATATTCTACTGACCCCATATGGGCTTAGTTTGTTCATCTGTTAAAATAAGCTGCTGTCAAAAAAACACCATCTTTGTCACAAAAAAAACCAAAACAAACCAACAAAGTTTCCAAAAAAAAAAAAAAAACCAAAACAACAAAACCACACATATTTAAGGAAAAACACATCTTAACCAAAACAATGCATAAAGTGAAATCTGAAGTATTTGACGCCTAATTGGTATATTCAAGAATTTGTGACAATAACCTCACAAAGAAGGCAAAAAGGCAGTAGGGCAATCAGCAAAATTCTATCATATACCAAGTAAATGTGCATTTATTGCAGGAATGCTAGTGATAAGATAAACGGCAAAGATGTTAAAACATGTAATCTTGTAATTGCCTAGTTAGAGAGCATTTTTCCATTTTTCCATGATTCCACAATTCTTATTTTTAAAAAATCGAGTAATGGGCAAAAGTCATATTGCAAATAGCAGCAAATTACTCTAGGAGCTATGACTCCTCAATTTGTCTCTCCAGTTTGAAAATAGATTAAAATTCTCTGTGATTAAATGTGCACTTAATGCTCTTAATAATTTTTGGGATGAAATGTGAACAACAAAGAAAGAGTTTAATAAATGCCTTGCTTGATATATGAATCCAGAAACACTTTAAAGTTTGTTCTGTTTCTGCAAGCTTCTCAAACCACCTTACAAAAAAAAGTTAAAATATGGGGTTTTTTTCCTGGGGTTTCTTGATCTTCAATTCTAACATGTGGCTGAAACATCCTGACTCCTTCAAAGAGAAAAAGGACTCAAGACTTGCACAGAATCTTCTTCTAAAAAGCAAAAAAAGTAATTCTGAAGTTAATGAAATGTATTTAATCCATGCAGTCTCTACAATTACCTCCTGTTTTTGAAAGCACAACAGCTTCCATATTTAACAGGAGGACAGATCCCACCACACTCTTACAGTGTTTTTATTAGGATGACTGGAAGCCCCTCAGTTTCCCAGCCCAAACCCTGAAAACAAGGAAATTAAGAGGGAAAACTCATCTGCTCGACAAACAAATGACATAGCCACCAACACCAGGCAGGGCAAATTCAATTCTGTGTGTGTTAAACAGCCACATGCACTGTTTTTATAGCTGGAGCACACTCTGTGTAACTCAGCAATAATATGCAGGTAAAGCCCAGGGCTTAGGCCAGCAGATGAAGAAAAACTGGTTCTGCAGTACCAGGGGGTGGGGTGGAGAACGTGACAGTGTTTAGGCTGCAGACAATAATGTAATGTGTGTTATTGCTGTCTCCTGTTCCAAACCAAGCCTCAGGCTGATGGAGCAGCCTCAGCGGTCACTGCACTCCAAGAATCCCCAGGATTTTCCTCTTACATGTGTTTGTTTTGCTTGGTCAAAAGAGATACCTGATGAAAGTCAGGCTTTTTCCATTTCTTTACAAAATATTGGGGCAGATAAAGAAGTCAGATTTTTCTCTTGAAGACAAAAGCTGGCTCACCTGCAATCCCTGAGGAAAAAGTTTAAGTTCTACAAGAATCAGTGCTACAAATCTTATCAGCTGATTTTATAGCAAGTTTCATTGCTTTGATTCACTTTCTCCCCTCAGGAGATGTCTGGGTGAGCTGGGCAGGCTGGTAGATGTGAATGTCATGAATCACACAACTTAAAAGCAAGGTGGGAAGAAGGGCAGGCTAGAACCAGGGGTCAACACACAACCTGTGTTGACTAAGGTAGCCGTGCTGGGTTGGTGTTTGGACCTAATGATCTCAAAATTCTTCTTACCCAGCCTTGATGATTCTGTGATTCTGTAATCATTACTGTGCCATCTGGAATTTGGTGCTCACAAGCTTTATCATGTGGTCAGGCGCTCCGATTCTACAACCTTCACAGTCATCCAAAGCCAGGTGTTACAAAATGCAGAAGGACTTTAATTATATGAAAAGTTAATCCTTCCCATAGAAGGAAATGCAATTAAAAAAAAAAACCCAAAAAACAAAAACCAAACCAACAAAACAAAAAAATAACAACCAAAAGCAAAAAAAAGAACCTCCAAAAAAACCTCTGGAAAACAAAAACATAGCCAAGTAAAAAACTTTCCAATGCCTTTTCATTTTAGTTCCTCTTTAATAGTTTTGTTTGAAGAGAAGAAACGCTGTCTCACACTAAGAATTTGGGAGCTCCTTTTTTTTTTTTTTTTTTTTTTTTTTTTAGCATAATGTGCCGGTGGTGAACTCCAGACCTATTCATTTGTTTCTGAGAGTTGGAACCACCAAGTTAATCAAGCAGAGATGTCCTCTGGGAGTCTTAGAGCTCCTGGGTTCTGTGACTACAGCCGCAGATCAGGGTAGCTTGGGTCAGAGACAAAAGCTGGATAAAAGTGGCAAAATGCCATTTTTTCTGATGCTATAAAGAGCATTCCAAGGGCATTTTCTCACCTGCACCTCTAACCTGTGGTTACTGCTCCTCACCTGGACGCAGCCAGCTGGTCAAAACCCAGGCAGTCATGAGGCACTGCCATCACAACTTTCAGAAATATGGAATCTCTTCAAAACTTCATTCCTAGGACATGGTCAAGTGTACAAAGAAGCAGGAGTATCATGGCCACTTTGAGGACTAAAACATTTACGCTTGTGCCTTAAGGACCAAGAACATCCTCACCTCCCTCCTCTCTTTCTGTGCTGCTCAGGGCTGGTTCTCTGACACAACAGGGTAATAAAAAGGTGTCCTTAAAAAAGTCACTAATTACCAAAACCACTCTGCAGGGCTGGAAAACCACAAGCATCTAAGCAGCTTGGTTCAACTTTAAAGCAGAAGGCTGGACAAGATGAAGAAGTCATTTTCTCTTGCACGTCAGAACAAGTCAGTTGATTCCTTTTGATGCACAGCAGCAATGATTTAACTAAACTTTCCTGAATGTCTTGAGTCTATTCTGTGCAGACCCCTTGGCTGAACAGGAAACCTCTTGAGAACTTAACCCTGCATGACGTCACACAATCCAAGGCTGGATAAGTGTCCAGTTTAATGGAAAGGCTCATAATTCCACCACAGGCCCTGAACTAGAGAAAAAAACATTATTTTCTCTGTGTCCTAGCTGTGAAACCTAATCCAGTTGCTCCAGAATCAGAATAGACCCCAGAGAAGATCTTTAGCTGCCCAAAACACAGAAGAAACTTCTCACCTGAGGCCACATTTTAGACTAATACTCCTTCAATTATGACTATCATTCTCACAGAAATTTCCATGACAACAGCAAAACCGCATGAGAGTAGGTGGAAAATATTCCAAGGACATCTGGTTTTGGTTTTTATCCTTCTTCCCTGCGCTCACTGTGGGGGGGAGGTGGTGCATGGAAGGAGGGCTGTACAATCTTCCCCACAGACACCCCAAAAATAACTCTGCTAGCGTGAGGGCCCCATCTGCACACGAGGGGGGCTTGTCAGGCATACATGGGCTCTGATGGGGTTCTGGCCAGGAGACAATCCTGTCGGGGTGGTTTGTGCTTTGGCTCGGCACAAACTCACTCCACCACTGGGCTTTGGTGGTGGCTCTATCTCCATCTCTGACACCACAGTGCTGCCAAAGCAACCACACGCTGCTGGTCTGAAGAATTCAAACTCTTCCTCACCCACCACCCATCTCCATCTCCATTACACCACAGGAGACACCCCTTCGGCTGGTGGTGTTAAGGGATCCTCACCCAAACCTGTGCAGCTCAGTCACTTTAAAATCTTTACTCATAAACTGCTTCCTGCAGCTAAAAGTACCCAAATGTTTCTGTTAGTGCTTGGTACACTGAAATAAGTGATGAACTATGAGGAATGTAAAACAGTTTGTAACAAAACACCATGCCTAGTACCTTTTTAATGATACTTTGACTCCAGGTTCTCATTTTTATCTCCAGGAGCTCAGAAATTTTCAATCCTTCCCACAGTTATTCTTCTGACTATTGCAGCAAAACTCATACTATTTAAATTAGAATTGTGCAGTCTTTAATCTTTCTGGCTTTCCTCAGAACAAGGAAATGGCAAGAGTTAGCCTAGATAACTGGTTTCAATTTAAGCTAATAGTTTGTGATTTAAGGAGAAATCCATGTCTCTGGCTAACTTCCTGATTCCACACAGCCAAAAAGGAATAAAATCGAGATGGAGTTGCTCCTACAAATCCTCAGTGCAAATACCCAAATTAGTACTGCAAATTCAATGCACATTTATTTTAAAATGTATTGCAAGAATTCCCACCACCATTTATGGCCTTCTGGGGTAACACACCAACAGCAGCCAACAGACCAATAAGTGTTCAATGACTTCCATGGTGACACCCTCATTATAGCCCAAATTTTGACATCATTAATCAGGCTTGTGCCATGAATAGTCATTCCACTGACACAGACCCTCCAAATAAGGACCTCTTTAGTGCAAGCAAGTCTAATAGATTTGGCATTGAAGCAGGGCAGGGTACACAGATATGAACTTTAAAATTCACATGGAAAAAGCTGTATTTAAGCACACCCTAAGTGCCATGGATTCATTTTGCTACAAATTAAGCTAAAGATCACACCTTGCACGATCAACCTTTGGTGAACAGGGCCATCAGAAATCTGGCACAATTTTAGCTCTTAACCTGTAAGTTCTCTACCAACACAGCAATCTAGTTTAGTTCAACTTTCCAATAACCCCACTGACATTCTAAATTTCCATCTTCTGTGGGTGAGTTGCTCTGAAGTATAAACTCACAGATGCTGTGTATCTTCTAACAAGCTCCTCTTCACTCGAAATTAACCTCTGTCCTGACAGAAACTGCTCCTGTTACACAGACAAAGCCACCTTGGCTCCTCAGCCCCACCTGGAAAAGGGAGTCTGGCTCAGAGGCTCAAGTTTCTGTGAAGGCACTGAGGAATGGTTTATCCTGCACTACACACTAGGATGTGGCGTGGTGTCTTTTCCTCAGCATCTGCAGAGTAATCATCAAAACAGAGTAATTTAACTCATCCAAACAGAGTGATTTAACTCCTGCATGTCAGCAGAACCTACCTACACTGTTTCTATGCCCTACACCTATAAACTCCTCCTGGAGGTCGTAGAAGTTGTTGTCACACTCCTGATAATTTAAAAACTTCTGAGAGAATGAGAAAATAATAAAATCTCTCTCACATACACACAAAAACCAAAAAACAAGACAACCAACCAACCAAAAATACCCAAACCGAAATAAAACAAACAAAACAAACAAAAGGAACCCAAACCAAACAAATAAAAAAAACCCCAAAAACAACAAAAGGGAAAAGTTGGGGAATGTCTTTGGCTAGCTATTATAATAACCTGACATTAAACTTGTTCAATATAATGAATGCAATGTAATGAACCAAATCTCTACAATATTGTGCTCTAGTTTATATATTTGTTAAAATCTGGATGTTTTCATATACAAGAAGATCATGTCACCACCGTCCAGCTGACAGGCCACAACAGTGGGACAGAAGTGTAGGTGCATCCCAAGAGGGAAACAGGGTCATAAACCTTGGCAAATTACATTTTATAACAAAGAACCTATTCATGTCCATGAGAAATTGAGGACCTGTGCATTTTCATCCATGAGGACTGCAAAGTCACTGCAGCTTCTTTGAACCACACACCAGTCTCGTTCCAGGTTGTTCCAAGCAGAGACCATCAGACTCAGTGAAAAATGCTTCAGTTTTGACCTAAGCTCTATTTTTGAAAGTCTAGTGACAAATTTTGACCCTGAGAAACTGCTGGCTCACATGCACCCAGGACAATCTGCTCTGTATTAGTTACACTTCTCTGTTCTTGAACAGGGAAAAGAGCAAGAGATTGTTCTTCACCCAAGAATGATACATTTTATGTTTTTGACTAAACCTTCTTTTTTAGGCTAGGAAAGACACAAACTGAAATAAAAAGCACTGATTTAGAGGAGATTCAGAATCCAATCCCATCAAGTACTGATGGAGGATCAAATGTCATCAATTGTAGACGTTCACAGGTGCTGCTCACTGACAGATGTAAATGGGACATAACTAAAATTAAGACAATGAAATGCACTATGAAAATTCTGTCACTTAATTTTCAAGTTCAAGTTAGAAATTCTCAAGCATATATATTTTCTGGAGGCTTTGCAACAACCTGTGTTGCTTGTATTGCATAAATCTCCAAGGTGGCTAGGACAGATTTTCAGCTACTAGAAATAAAACACTTACTGATTTCAATAACTAAAATCTCTGTAAGTCACCAGCAGGAGAAAAATTTGCATGACCTAATCTAAAACAGATTAGAAACAAACACTGAGCACCTGTATTTTGCAATTACTTTTTAAAAATATATGTACACCTACAAAGGGAGGCTTGCTCAGAGCCAAGGCTAATTTATTGTTCTGCTTGCTGACTTTAAGAGCACTAAATTAAATGTGTAACAGCCAAGGACCATCCCTGAGGATGTTTAGTTAGGAATTATCAGGGGGTTTTTCAGAAAAGAACTGTGGAACTGGCATGGAATAAAAAACTGTCAAACAGGCAGCATTGTGACACACTCAGGCCACTGTAGTAAGTGGAAAATAGACTTTAGTCCTGGTTGCAAAGTATCTCTGTAATAATTTTACTAAACTAGGCCCAGAAACTACAAAGTTTTTTTCTGATTTGTTTCTATCTGAATCTGAGATGACCCATTATTAAAAAGATACTATTAAACGTAGATGGCAATTCAATAGCTGTCTAATTTTATGCCATGAACACATAAAAAGACTTAATTACATACTTTATGAACTGTAATACAGTTAGCACATATATTACATCTATCTTTGTATGTACTTATATATAGCATACATAGTTTCTCAAACATTAAATACATTTCTTTGAAAATACTTTTATATAACTTTCAAAAAATAAGACACTTCAGCAGCAACATTTGTGAGATCTACTGCACTAACTATAGGCAGCTTGAACCCTGACTGCAGACTCCACACTGGCCTTTAATTAGGACCTACAAGACCACAAAATGTAGGTTCCCTCCATTTGGCAATTCCCTTCAGATCCAGAGCAGCCAAAACCTATTTTAAATGGAATTTTCTCCCTCTCTGCTCTTCCACATCAGGCTCCCCAGTCACTTTTTAAGCCTTGCAGTGCACTTCCAGGCTTTGCAGACCCATCTCACCTTCCATGTGCTCCACGTAGCAGTAAACATCGTAAGTCTCGTTAGGGAAGCGGCGCCCGTATGTCCGGACTCCTTTCTTTCCCATCTTATCTCCAAAGCAGCCAACTCTTGGATGTCTAATTGGATACCTGGAAATGCAGAAAATTTATCATTATGACTCTTAGGATTTCATCTTGTATATTTTTCAAATCCTGTACTACTTTAGGGTATAACTTTAAAGTCCAAATAGAGTGGTAGTTCCTGTGAGTGTTCTTCACATTTGGGTCAGACAACACAATCCCTCTGGGCCTGAAACCCAAGGGCACCCTACAGCCTCAGGCCCTGAAGGTATAAACAAAAGTGAACTGTGGGGAGCAAACTGGGGGGAAATTATTCATCACCTGAAGCTGCAGTTGGAGGATTAACCCCTGAAATGTAAATGGACCAAACTTATAATTGTGGGAAAAGTTCATGACCATTGTCCATCTTGGGTGCAGCCTCTGGGAGGCTCCTGACTGCCCAAGCTGCACCTATTGAAGGCCTTTAATAAATGCCCACTTTATTCTATTAATCTTATCCAGCCTTTGTTCCAGGCAGCCACTCCAAGGCATCAATTATGTCAAAACAACAGTTGAGGTCTGCACAGGCCAGGCACACAAATATCGGGTAAAAAGGTGAAGGGGCATTTTGAAAGCCTCACCTGACAGTCTGGTCAGACACCCATCCAGCATCACACTGCTCAAAGCCATCCTCGTAGGCTGCTTTCAGCTGCTCTGGGCTGGCCATGACGGCGCCGTTGTCCCGGCAGGTCTGGTGAGCCTGTGTGAAATTCAGGGTGTACCTGCTCGTGGCAGCCCGGTAGTGAAACACAACACCTGGAAGGCAAAAAAAAAAAAAACAACCCATCAGTGGCACATTTTGGGTTGTTTCTGCAGCCATCACCACTTCAAAACCCAAAAATCCCCTGGCACTGGCACTTTTTGTGTTGTTTCTGAAGCCATCACCACTCTATAACTCAAAAAACCCATCAGTGGCACATCTTAGGATTTTTCTGTAGCCATCACCACTCTGAAACCCAAAAAACCCCTGGCACTGGCACTTTTTGGGTTGTTTCCACAACCATCACCACTCTGTAACCCAAAAACCCGTGTTAGTGGCACCTTTTGTGTTGTTTCTGAAGCCATCACCACTCCAAAACCCAAAATCCCCAGTTAGTGGCACATTTTGTGCTGTTTCTGCAGCCATCACCACTCCAAAACCCAAAAATCCCCTGCCAGTGGCACATTTTGGGTTGTTTCTGCAGCCATCACCTCACCTAGGTGATGTCACAATGCAGAAAACAGGTGGGCAGAATGAAAAATAGTACAAAAAGTTGAGATATTACAGTATAAATTATGTTCCCTCTAGTGGCTGCTACCAGTAATGACAAAATACCCCCAAAAATCTGCTTTTTTGAAGCAGATTTTCTAAGCAGTGATGGGCCTGGTGTCTCTTTCTACATATCAAAGATCACTACAAATATATAATTTATCACTATATGATTTTGGTCAATTTTCCATAGCCGTATTTTCCTGCACACTCCGCAAAAGGTACAAAACAAAACAAAGCATGATTTTCTTTGGGATTTTTCTGGTTCTGAAAAGGACCTTGACAATTTCAGCAGCTTCTGGAGCATGTCAGGCCTTTGGAGAGGGAGGCCTGATGTGACAATGGTTTTGTTTACAGCAGGATCTGTCTGGAAGCCACATTTTGTTTTCTACACACACACAATTCCCACTGAATCTGACAACAGTTAGAACAAACCATAAAGGGCACTGAAGTGGCATCCCACCTTACAAAATCATTTCCCCTTATTACCACTGTCTTTTACAAAGGCATGCCCCTTGCAATATCTAATTGCACTCTAAAATCCTCAGAAGTGTTTCAACACCATAAAGCCTCCAGAGAATGGAAACAAAACAAAACAAAACAAGCCCCAAAACCATTAAATGTTCCCTTTCTCTGATGGTTTTACTGGAGTACTTCATGATGAGGAAACAGCATACTGTAATATAGTTTGGGAAAATAGTAATATTGTAGCAATAACTAATTTTACAAGTCTTTGCTATTAGAGCATTGTTGAAAGATAAAGAAAATCTGCTAGCTCACAAGCAAATAGAAACACAGGTCACTTAGCAAATTGTTGATGCAAGAATTTCCAGTGTATTTAGAAATCTTTTTCTCATGAAGACAAAGTCTTGCCAGTCATTAAAAATCTCCATATGGCCATTTTCCTTCTTGTCATGACTCACTAAGAAATTAATACAGAAAATATTATCTGAAAACTACTCAGCCATCAGACATTCTTTTTTTTTTTTTTGTTTAAGCAAAGCCACTCGCAGAGAAACAGGAAATAAAAGTGGAAAGGCTGGGAATCCCCATATTTCATCATTTAATAGGGAGTCACACACCAGCTGCAGCCACTAAGTGGAAGCTTGCAGACCACCAGCATCCCCATAAAATGCCTTTCAGAGCTGACAAAACCTATCACAAACAGCTTCTTCCAAACAACAGTGTAATTTCAGCTCCAAATGGATCCAAGTGTTGTTTGGCAACAGTGACAAGTGAAGAATACACCCTGGGAAATTATGTCTGTGTTTGTATCATTACATTAAACTTTCCAGGTGCCTGAAATTCAGTCATTAAGGGTGTTAAATTGTTAGGTTATTTCACTGCATTATTTGGCTCAGGCCCCACAACACCGTTCCAAACAATTTCTGGGCAGATTTCAAGAACAAGCAGAGAACAGGGACAGCTTCCAAAGGGCATCTTCATCCTGTGCTGGGAGCCAAAGGAGTGCTTTGTGGGGATGGGGGACACCCTGTTCCCCACAGCCTCACACCCCAGCACACAGAGATAGCCAACATCAGCATTTAAACCTTAAAATCACAAAAAAATATTATCTGGAGATTTATATATATATATATTTTTAGCATGAGGTATGCATAAAAATATTGATTTTTAATATATTTGGAATTTAGCAGCAGTGGTTGAAACTGTGAGCAGAACACCTGCTGGTATAAATGAGGATTGTTATATTATTAGTACAGTAGTAAATAAATAAAGGATTTCAGGAGGCCTGCTTGGTGTTCTGGATCTAAAATTTAAAAATGGGTAACTTTTACAGAGCACCCAACAGAAGCAGATAAAATATTTACCCTATTTCACAACTGTGAACCCATAATAAGAGTCACAACCTGTGCATCTGGCTAGTCTATTTGTTATTCTTTAACATAAACAAACATTTTAAAACTTTCTTTCTTATAACAATGGCATTTCTGCAATAAAGCATATTTGATGCTGAGTCATAAACGTCCAATTACATGAAGAAATTTGTTAATTCAGTTTGTTGCTTTAATCCTAATTAAAATGTATTTTGTGTGAATTTGGAATACTTGTCTTTTTTATAATTGTTTTGCAAAATTGCTTAAGTGACTTAAGTATAAGACTTCAAACTCGGCACAGGAGTTTCTGTTTCTCAGTGCAGCCACCAAAAGGTTTGCTACCTTAGAGGGGATGGCAACATATATCTTAAAGCTGTATTTTTATTTTTTTTTAAGTTTCCTGCTGCTTAAACATATGAGTTCATTTTCCACAACGAGCTATTTCACCTCTCATTCCTTCCTTTTTTTTTTTTCCATGTTGGAAGCACCACTGCCCTTCCTACCCTGGCAGAGCCGGCGTGACACCTGAACAAGGCAGGACCAAAGAGTTAAAATCCCAGCCAATTTAAAGTGGATTTCGCCGAGGCAAAGACGAGCCTTTGGTCATTTGTAAATCCTGGAAAGGAACTCGGGGAATGCTTTGTTCTCCTCGCCCTGATCCACAAGGTAAACTTCACCTATTCTCAGAGCTGGAGGCTCCTCCATTTCCAGCGAGGAGCTGATGGACATGAAAGAGCCTCAAAGATGAATGGAAAGGAGGACTCACTATGCATAAGCCTGTGCAACAGCTGCAATAATTAGAAGACCCCTGGGGCTAAGAAGATTAAAGTGCAGGACTTTCATTGTTTCAGTTAGACAGAGAGAGGGGGGAAACCCATTGTCCCGGTCTTTGCACTTTAAAACATTTGTAAAGGATTTTTTTCCCCCCGCCTTTGTCTATTTCCTCCCCGAAAGAAAAGGCAAGAAAGGAGTTGTCCTTGGAACAAATAAAGCAACTGGAAAACAGACTACAGCGGTATAATGTTGTCACTGAACATCTGGCAAACAAAGTCAGTGTAATTACAGGAAGGAGTAGCAGCAAGAAAGAGCACTCACAGGAAAGCAATTTGTAGCATCTAAAATTCACTTCTGTCAGAGCAAGGGTGAACGTCTTTTCTCGTTTATCTCACGTCTGAGACCAGAAAATAAAAATGTGAAGCATTTAATCTTTAACAGACAAGGGTTTTCCACGGGTAAGAGCCCGGTTCTGTGGTTACACCCCTTTGGGTTGCAGCTTTATTGTGTATCATGCATCAGAACCCTGTGGAACTGCAGGGGAAGCTAGTTTATTAGCTCCTGGTATGGCTAATAAATTATAGTTCACTTTCACCAGTGAGCTCACGCTGCTGCCTCATGCAGGGTTGGATGTGGCAGCAGAAACCCTGAACCTCAGAAGCTGCCTCACGCAGCAAATACCTAAAGGGAAAAGATTGTGATGGCAGCGCTTGTTATCCTGTTAATTTTTGTCTTCAGACCTTGGACACTGTGTTGCAGACCCCTGAAATAACCCCCAGCCCAGCGCCAGAGCTACCACACAGTTCAGATCACTGTTCACATCCTCCCTGGGCTTAATGCAGAAGGCAATTTACATTACAAATACACCCCAAAAACACGGGTTTACAGGGCTGAGCGCTGTATGAAAGGAGGGAATAGGGCAGCATTTCCAGCCCTCTGCATGAACAATTCGTTTGTGCGTCTCTCTCTAGGCTTTGCACCCATCTTCTGACGCCTGTCTTGGGCTTTGGCAACCTGAGAAGCAGAGGCTCGCCTTGCCAAACGCCTCAGGGAGCCCACGGTGGAGAGGGAAAGTGCCTTCCCCCTGCCCTGCCAGGGCTCTCCAGGGCCAGGCACCAGGATGTTTGTGCCCATCCCCACAGCACACAGGTGGAGGGGCACAGGGACCCTCCAACAGCTCCAGATAATTAAGGAGAGAAAGGATCAGTGTTGAACTTCGCTGTGGTTTTAGCCTTTATGTCTCTCCCACCACAGCTCCTGCATCCAGAGCCACCCCAGCCTGTCCAACCAGAGGCTGCCATGCTCCCAAATCCACAAGAGAAACACAGCAGCTTGGCCGGAACATTTCCTTCCTTCTTCCTGGCACGCCTTGCATGTAGATCCTGGGTCTTTACCACTCAGAAATAAATTTTCCTTTGCCATCCTTTGATGGCCCACACCGACTGTGCTCTTCCCTTGTCAGGAAGATTCCTCGGGATCCATTAGGCAGGAGAGTAAAAAACCAGCTGGAAAATGCAGCAGCCCGTGATAATTTACACGGAAGTTCAACATCAAGAGGTGGTAAGGTTTCAAGACAGGTAAGTCTGAAAGATTAGGTAAAAGCACCTCTTCAAATGCCTACTTAAGAGATAAAGAAGGGGATTTCTGCTGCAGAGAGAATAGATCAATTAGGTTGTCAGCACACAATCTCTCAGTGGCAGGGTTCCCACATCAGAAACAACTTTCATTTATTATCATTATAATGCTTGCAGGAAAGACAGGTTTGCATAAAAATGAAAATGTGAATTACCATCTACTGCTGCCTCCCTAATTCTTGTTTCTTTCCATTAAAAAGATCAGTATCTTAAGCCTGGGATTGTCTTTACAGGCTTTTAAAAAGAAAATACACCAAAAAAAAA